ATTCTTTTGTAATGTACCTTCAACTTTATGTTCATATATTGTTGATACATTTACAACATTATGTACATCAACTGATACAAATTATTTAGTTAAAACACTTATTTTATTTATTGAAAAAACAAGTGAATTAATAAGAGATCAACCAGAAAAAAATATAGTTAATGTTTATTTAGAAGAAGTTAATGATGAGTCATGGAGATGTGATAAATTTAAAGTAAATGTTCAAGTAATTAATAATAAAATAGATGAAAATATGAAAGATTTATTAGAAGAACAACAAACTACATTAGAAAATTTTGAAAGAACAAATAAATTGATATTTTTAACAAAAGTTGGAATTGAAAATGTAGGAAGAATGAAAATTGTTTTATCAAAAAAAATGAAGTCATTAATAAATGAAATTAGAATAAAAGTACCTAAGTCATTTGATTTTGTTCAGTCAATTGATGAAGAAGAATTAGCAGGAAGAATTAAAATAATTTGTAAAGATGTTGAATTAACTGATGGGAAAAGTGTTATTGGAAAAGATGTAATTATTAAATTTGGAGAATATCAACCAGTCATTTATAGTGAATATTATGAAGAAGTAATTAAACGAGTAAGATGTGTTGATAAAAATTTAGTTGAAAGATTAACTGAAGTTATTAGATCAAATAATGAAACTGTAGCATTTTCAGGATGGCAATTATTAGAAGCGTTATTTGATTTTATTGCAGAAGGAAGTGAAATTGATACATCATTAAATGGTTTATGTGAAAATAAAATAGATGGAAGTTTATTACCATCATTAGCATTTGTTGTTAAATGTTTAGCAGAAGAACGAGAATCAGTTGAAATGACAGTAGAAAGGTATTTTTGGAAATTACTAAGTGTAACGTGTCAAATGATTCAAGAAAGTAATGTTGAGTCTTCAACAATTAGAGGTGTTATTATTGAACAATTATGTCATATTATTTGGCATACTCTTATAAAACAAAGTGAATATAGATGGTGTAGTGAAATGCAAAGACAATTAAATATTAAATTATTAGAATTTTGTAAAGACCAATTACTTCAATGGCAGCAAAAAAATGAAACAAATGATACAACACATTATTATACTTATTGTTTACTTCATTTCTTTTTATATATTGGAATGATGTTTTGTAATTATAATTATTTTAATGAATGTTTCTTTAAAAGTTGTATTTCAGCAAAATCAAAAGAAGATGTTATTAATATTTATTGTATTCTTGATTGGTTTATTGAAAATGATCAACAAAAGAAAAAGGTTATTGGATTATGTGAATATTGTTTTTCTCAAAATGTTTCTTCATCATCAATTAATTATGGTTATTATAAATTATTATCTGAATTATTTTTAAGATATAAAAAAAATGGTGGTAATTCTGAATTATTTAATTCTTTATGTAAATCATTTATTGAACAATTTATGTTATTTATTAATCCATTAATTAATAATAATATTCAATTAAATGGTTTATTAACAATATGTATTTCTATTGCAGAAGTATATCCTGAATTATTTCAAGAATATAATCTTTTTATTAAATTTATTCCATTTATTAATGCTTATTTATTCCCGTTAACTACTGATATTGAAACTTTAAATCATTTTCCTCGTTGTAAAAGTATTGAATCACGAAGATTATGTTATGATTTAATCATTGAATTAACAGAAAACGAAGGTATTATAAGTTCATTAATAACTCATATTTCACGTTATTTTTCATTACATACTCGACAAAAATTATTAGTTATTCCTCCTTTACTTACAGGAAATATTAATATTTTATTTGTTATGTATCAATTAGCAAGTGTTTTTTTATCCACATTTATGGTAAAAATATTTCAATCAACAGAGTTAAATATGAAAATTATTAAAGAAATACAAACAGTTATTACTTATATTCAAAATGTTCCAGAACAAACAATCGATATTTCATCATTAGAATTAATGTTAAATGAAAAGGGAGAAGAATGTAAAGAACCATTTACAATAATTAAAACAATTATTTCAATATTAAAAGAAAGTGAATATGAAGAAGAAATAGAACTTTTTAAAGGAGAAATAAAAACATTAATAGAAACAATAAAAAATAAAACAAGTTCAATAATATTTGTAGAATTATCAGAAGTAGAAGAAATAAATGATACAATGACAATAACAAAAATAGAATGTAATAATAAAAAAGGTTATGAATATCAATTATTTGGAGTGATTGGTGAATGTTCACAATTTAAAATAGGAAATTCATGGTTTTCATATAAATTAGGAGAAATAAAAAAAATTGGAACAGTAAGTATTAAAAAACATATATCAACAATTTATGTTTATAAACAATGTTCAAAAGAAATTGATCATCATAAAAGAGTAACATTTACATTTAAAAATGAAGTAATTTTATTTGAAGAACCATTTCAAAAATTTATTTATACAATTGCAATTCAAGCATCACATTATTTACCAATTCAAACTTTAAGATTTATTTTCTTTTATTTCGATGTTGTTTATCTTAGACTCCCAAGACAACCTTTAACAAGTAAATGGAATATTTTATTACATGAATTATATGATAAAACTAAAGATGATAATTGGATTATTAAACATTTTGATGACGTTAATGTATTAGACGCTTATTCACGTTGTAGAAGTCCAGAAATAAGAAGTGCAATTTTTGATATTCTTCATCAAATAATAGAACATTCATTTAGTCAATGTAATGAATATTCAAAAAGTCCAATTGGTAATTTTATTAAAACATGTTTACATTGTATTGAACAATCCCCAACTATTATGGTTGTTGATTTATTTGATTATTTTGCAGTTAATAGTATTGAAGAAATGAATTTTGTTATTACTACATTAAATATATTTGATCATATTGTTCAAATAATTAAAGGAAGAGGTGGTATATTTTTACCAAATAACTGTGCAATTTCAATGTTAAGATGTTTTTATACGTTATATGTTAATTGTGATATTGGTGAAAATAATAAAAAACCTTCTACTAAACAATGTGTTCATTTAGAAAATGATTTGTTTTTAAATGACATTGAATTTTTATATTCAATTACTCGTTATGAAGTTACTACTCTTTTCTTAGAAGAGTTTATTAGAATTGTTTTTATTGGTCATCCTGATAGAACTACTTCTTTTTTATCTTATTTCATTCAAAACGTTGATCAAATTAGTTTATCTCAATTTATCTTCTTAAAAAATTTATTTAAATTTAATGATCGTTATAATAATGAAATGGCTAAAGTTTTAATTAAACCTTTAAAATCTTTAATAACCAAGGCTGAATCTAATCAATCTTTAATTAATAATATCACTAACTTCATTTTATTAACTGAACTATCTCCTACGGTCTATACTGTTTTTAAAACAGTTTCTAAACAAATTAATGATAAAATTTCAGTTTCTCATATTAAATTGGTGTTTTTGTAATTCTTAAACAAAACGGATGGTTATTTTATTATTTCTTTTTTTATTTTTTATTTTATTTATTTATTATTTTAAATACTATTTAATAATAATAAAATTATTATTTCATTTTATTAAAAATTAATTAGTAAAGTAATAACTTTTAAAAGATTTAATTTATTATAAACAATAATATATATTTATTAATCTTATTAAATTAAAAAATGTAAAGAAGAAAGAGAGAAAAGAATTAATACTACTTCTTTTTTTTTTAATTGAAAAAAAAAGAATAAAAATAGAAAATACTAACTAACAAAATAGAACATTAAAAAGAAAAAAAAAACATAAATATTTAAATAATAAAAATATTTTGTTTTAATAAAACATTTAACAAAAATAAAAAAGAAAAGAGGAAATGTTCTGAAAATGAGTTAAAGATATAAAAGAAACAAAAACTAAAAAATCAATAATAGAGAAGTATGTTATTTATTATATACCTTATTTCATTTTGTATTGGAAGTGAAATATATAGAATTACACCAAAAACTTTTGATAAAGTTACTACACAAACAGATATTTTAATTCGTTTTTGTCCAATGTATGAAAACGAATGTAGAGAAACACAATCAGCATATGAAGGACTTGTAGATACATTTGAAGAATTTGAAGATATTTCATTTGGAGAATTTGATTGTACTAAACATGCTGATTGGTGTGATGAACATGGATTTAAAAGAAGATTTCCTATTTATGTAGCATATACAACAGGACCCTTAGGAATACAAATATTCCCAGATGATCATAATGTTAATGAATTATCCAAATTTATTAATACAGTATTTAATATATCAAAAATACAATATACTACATTATTAACTGATAAAACATTTAATAAAACAATTCTTCAAGATCCAAATTCAGAGGCATTAGTTTTATTTTATGATTATTGGTGTCCATTTGGAAGAGAATTTTCAAAATATCTTGAAAAAGTAGCTAAAAACTATGGAAATGAAAAAGACCTTGTTATTGCAAGAGTTGATTGTTCAGTTTATCCAAAATTATGTAAACAACAAAAAGCAACAATGTTACCACAATTTGAAATGTTTACATTTAATAATAAATCACCTTTTTGGGTATATCCAGAGAGAAGTATTGAAGGTTTAATTAAATTTATTAATGAGAGATTTCATAAGAATAGAGATATTGATGGATTAAAACCTTCAGACTTTGGTACTTGGAGAGAATTTGATGAAGTTGCAAAAGGTTATCTTCATTCAAATGATAAAGAAAAAAGAAAAACAAAATGTGGTGAATTTATTTTAGGTTCTGTTTATATTGATATTATGAAAAAAATTGACCAATTAAATTCTGACGATTTTATTCCTTCTGAAATTTCTCAATTAGAATTTAAATTAAGAAATCAACTTCCTTATTTATCTCCAAAAGAAATTGATGATTTACAAAGAAGAATTAATGTTTTAAAGAAATTCATTTATTAAAATTTTTCTTTTAAATTATTTTAATTTTTTTTTTAATTTTTTTTTTAAATTAAAAATTAAAAAAAGAAGAAGAAATGATTTCAGTGAGAAGAGCCACTGCACAAGACATTTTTTCAATTCAAAATTATCAACTTACAACAGAAGAAGGATATCAGTCAAAATATTATTATTATCATTTTTTATCATGGCCATATTTAATGTATGTTGCAGAAACAATAAATAAAAAAATAGTAGGATATACAATTATGAAAACAGATGATGAAACTAAAGAAGGGTTATGTACTGTTCAAATAACAAATCTTGTTGTATCAGAATCATATAGAAGAATGAAAATCGGTACACAATTATTAAAACAAACTATTAATGCTGCTATTGAAATTTATGGAGCTCGTATTGTTAGAGCTCGTTCTTCGGAAAAAAATTCATCTGGAAGTAAATTTTTAGAAAAAATGGGATTTTCAATGGTTGGTGAATATGATCACATGGAACTTTATAAAAAAGTGTTGAATTTGGATGACCAATTAAATAATGAAGACATTTCACCTGCTGCTGTTGCTTGGAGAAAAAAAATTATTGCAGCAAATTAAATTTTAAAAAAAAAAAATTTCTAATAATTTAAAAAAAAATTAATTAAAATTTTAATTTAAAATTTTTAATCTTCTTTTAAATTTTCATTATTTGAATATTCAGTTCTTTGAAGATTTTGTTTATTTGAAGAAGAAGATGTTGAAGAACAAATAATAAGAAGTAAAGTAATAAAGATATAAATAACATAACACATGTAGAAGACAAATAAATGGATAAAAATCAATTGAATTGGATAACCAATTTCGTCATAACATGATTTAATCGAATCAGTAATATTTTTAGCATAACAACCATCTAAATTAATTGATTTCCAACCGCAACAATTAGATTTTAGTTCAATATTATGTAATCCATTTATGTCTTCACTAAAATCGTTTTGTTTCATCATAGTTTGACTTAATATAATGAAAAATCCTCCAATAAGAAGTACTAAAATACTTCCAATTATTGTACATATTTTACCTCCTTTATTAAAACAACACGAAACAATTGTCGTTGATATAAATAATAATATCCCAAAAATACATCCAACTGATATAAATAATGAACTGATTTTTTCATTAAATTCAATGTCTGGATCTAATAAATTAAAATAAAATTGAATGGGGAAGAAACAACATAATATTATTCCAAGAAGACTTAACAATAATAATGGTGTATGTGCCATCTTGTAATTATTTATCTACTATTTTTATTATTTTTAGTTGTATATTATTTAGTTATCACTTTTATTTTTTTTTGTTATTTTTAATAACAAAACTAAATCCTGTTTCAAATTTTGAACATACAATAAATGTTATTTCAATGGTTGTTTGGTAATATCAATATGTATTGTAAAGAAAAGCAAACAAAACATAGAAATCCAATGTCATCAATAAAATGAATGTCAATAGCAATAAATGGCATAACAACAATAATAATAAAAGTAAATGATATTACCAAGGAAAATGGATTGGAAGACGAAAGAAACAAAGAGACACAAATAAGAAACAAGATAAATACAATAATAATAAAGATTATACAAATAACAAATATAAATGATTAACAATAAATGAGATACAAGAAAGAATAAAAAGAATAAAAAGTGAATGAAACAAAGGATAATATTCAGAAATACTCAAGAAGTAAGAAAGTAAAAGGAAAAGATTGTATGATATTCTTCAAGAAGTATATTCAATCAAAAAGAAAAAGATAATTGAAAAAATCAAAGAAGAAATTAAAGAAAAAGACAAAAGACAATTGAAGAAAAAGACATTAAAACAAATGAAGAAAGAATTAAAAACAAAATAGAATTAAAGAAATGAAAGAAATATGTAAAATTTCAAGAATAATAAATAACAAAGAAAGTATAATGAAAATACAAGAAGAAATACAACAAAACAAACGAAATAGAATAATAATTGAATTGATGTATTGTTTTGAACTAATTGGTTAAATAAGAAATTATATAAGAAATTAAGATGGGAACAAATAGAAAGTATAATAAAAGTAACAAACATCAATGTAAATAATGAAAAAGAATATATTAAATATATTAAAATATCACATAAAATAAAATAAAGCACTAAACAATACATTAAAATGAAAGTAAATAATATAATAGAAAGAAGAGTAGAGTGTAATTCAATAATAAAAAACATCATAATAAAGAATAACTCTACAGAAATTGATGAAGAATACCTTAACACTCTCATCAATAAAATAAAAGAAATGAAAATAGAAAAATGTACAAACATTAATTACTACTGGAAAAGAAAAGAAGCTGACTAATTAATAATGGAAATTAATAATAGATTGATATGGTCAGGAAGCAGAATGCATGAACTGCAAGATGATATGAATAAGATTTCAATGATTATGCACCTCTATCTCCAAAATAAAATAATAAGAAATAAATTTGATGAAATAAAAGAAATCCTAAAGAAAATAAATAGACTAGAAGATATGGTCAATGAAATTGTACAGAATAAAGTGCATCATAAAATTAAATGAACATGATGAAGAAGGAATAAAAGTCAAAGCACTAGAAAGAATAAAGTACATAAAATATATGATGACAATGATCAAAGAAAGAATTAAATTTAATAAGGAAGAAATAATCAGAATCAATACAAATAAAATCATGATTGATTCTAACAAGAAAATTAGAATAAGGAAAAAACAAAGAATGAAATATACAAAAATAACGATATTACTTTAGAATATTTGAAATTGTTATATGAAACACAGGTGATATTAAATAAAAATAATTGGAAAATAAAACAAATCACCTCGTTGAATGAAAGATATATCAATTATGATAATGTCATAATAACAATAAATGAATTAAATTTAAGTATAATGAAAATAAATAATTAGAACTATTCAATGAAACAATATAAAATTAATAAAAGAAAGGATAAAGATAAATATGTGTAATAGATATAAAGAAATAAAACCAATCTAATAAATGATATGAGTAATGTTGAAAATATTATAATATTAATAGAGCTTAGTTTAAATAAAATAAATGAATATAAAGAATTAAAGAATATAATAAATAATATAGGAAATAGGAAATATTAAAATAAATGAAGTGATAAACACAGAAAGAAGTAAATTAAATAAAGAAATAAAAGTTGAAATAGACGTGATAAAAGAAATTAAAAACCATGTTATTAAACGTTGATTCTATCAAAACTAAACATATGTTTTTGATATAGTAGAAGAATTGGTGATGGGAATAGTCTCTAATGAACAAGGAGCAGTCGAAACAATTCTATTAATATTTAATTAACTAATTTTCATTCAAATATAAAAATTTAGAAAATTTTTGCATCATTCAAAGCTATTTTTAAGTTATATCTATAAAACCATCATTTATGGATTTTTATTCAAGTCGTTTTATATTCATTAGACCTGAAGATGATCCAGTGTTCAAATATAAATCAAGGTCATTTCAAAGGGGGATATCAAAAAATGACCCAGAATTATTAAGTAGTAGTAGTTCTTCAGAATCACCAGATAATACTGAAGATGAATTAGAATATTCTAGTGAATCTGATTTAAATAACCAGAATAATAGATGTTGTCTTTGTGGTTCGATTAAGGGTGTTCTTTTGTGTATTAAATGTAATAAATATTTCTGCAATGGACCAGTATATAATTCAAGTAATTGTCAAGTGATTGAACACATAAGAATGAGTCGACATTATCAATTCAAAATTAATGATGAATATATTAAATGTTCATGTTGTGGTGATGATAATATATATAATTTACGATATTCACATTTAGCGGATAAATTGTTATGTCATTCTTGTTTTGAACATCAAAAAGAAGAAATGAGTATTGAAGAAATTAATTCTTTTATTAATTCATTTGTTGATGAAGGAAGAATTGATTTATTAATTTTTGGCAGACAAAATTCAAACACGGCAATTTCTAAAAAAGCGATTAGTGCTATTGATAATAATGCATATGGAGAAATGGGTTTATTAGTAAGAGATAGATATGATAATTTTAGAGATTATTATACTACATATAAACGATTGTATGATATGGAATTAAGTTGTCATAATCCAATAACAGAAATATGTCTTAAACGATATGAACAACCTAATAAATTTGTCATTCATAGAACTAGGGAATCAGGTTATGAACTTCATATTAAAACTGATTCTATGGAACAAAACCTTTATATTAACTCTTTTATTATTTGCTGTTTTGAAGGAAATTATCATCCATTTGAAAAGGAAGACATTAATAGTTTGGTTTATAACAAAAAAGCAAAAAGAAAATTTGATAGCTCAGAACTTGTTCTTACTGGTAGAGTAGTTAATTTTACTAGTAGGTTAATTATTATCTCTTTGTGTGAAGAATATTTTAAAGACATTGAAAAAGTTAAACAAGTTTTTGACGAAAGGATTTTTAATTCATTTAACATACTTCGTTGTTATATTATTGATCCCAAAACACAAAATTTCAATACGCAACAATATACTAACGGAGATTTACTGAATTTACATGAAACTACTTTCATTCAAAGTTTGCTTGGAAACTTACATTTTCCTAATTGGAATCTTTTTGAAGAAAATGACATAATTTTTGAAATAACAGAAACACAAAACTTAAATCCACAACAAAAGAAAGCTGTTCTTAACGCATTAAATAGTCAGATATCAGTTGTATTTGGACCTCCAGGAACAGGTAAAACAACAGTAATTAAATCTATGGTTGTTAATTTTATTCAATTAGAAAGGGAGCATAGAATTTCAGATATGGATGAAAAGATTTTTGGTATGAAACATAAAAGTCTTAATAATCCAAAAGTACTTTGTGTTGCACAAAATAACAATGCGGTTAATGTACTAGCTGGTAAATTAAGATCTCCAGGTTTAAAAATTTGTCGTTTCATTTCATTTGAAAGGTTAGAAGAAATGCCATTTGACCAATGGGACTTATGCATTTATGCAAGAACACTAGAATATGCATTACAGGATGAAGAAAGATTTAGAGAATACCGACTACGTCCTGATGATTCTCCATTTAATTTGATTAAACTACTTCTTGAATTAAAAGAAGCTACAAGAAATAGAACAGTGATAAAATACTCTCGTAGAAAGATGGGTAATATTCATAATGCTATTAAAAAAGAGTTTAAAGGTATTATTGAAGATTGTAATGTTATTGTTGCTACTGTAAAAAGTTGCCTTAAAAATACATTTAATGATATTAATTTTCTTTGTACTTTTATAGATGAAGCTACTCAATGTACTGAATATGATTGTCTCTTTCCAGCACTTCGTTCTCCAAGATTAGTTCTTCTAGGAGACATTCAACAATTAAAACCAGTAATTCTTTCAGACGAAGCAAAAAAAGCAGGGTTTGATATTTCAATGTTTGAACGATTATTACATTGTAAAGTTAGACGTACATTACTAAATGAACAATATCGTATGCATCCTGGGATTTCTATTCTTCCAAACACATTATTTTATAATAGAAAGATTATTGATGGTACAAGGTTTGAAAGAAGTAATATTTCAATCTTCCCAAATAAGAAGGTACCAATTGTATTTATTTGTCATACTGGTAAAGAAAGATATTGTAATGATGGAAGTTTATTTAATGATACAGAAGCTGAAATTTGTAAAGAAGTATATTTATTTTTACGTAACGAAGCAAAAATAAAGATAAAAGACATTGAGTTTTTAACACCATATAATTCCCAAAAAGTTTATGCTAAAGATTATTGTCAAATAGAACGTGCATCAAGTATAGATTCATTCCAAGGAAATGAAACTGATTATGTTATTTTTTCTCCAGTTCGATCAAATTATGTTAAAGGAGCAAAATTTATTGGAGATTTTCATAGAGTAAATGTTGCAATTACTAGAGCAAAAAAAGTATTGATTATTGTTGGAAATGATAATACATTAAAAAATGAAACAGTATGGCGATTGATATTTAACTTCTTAGCTAGAAATGGTTGTTTTATGAAGTATGTCAATACTACAGAAAACCATTTTATTCCTATTAACTATCCTATTATTCAAAGCAACAAGTATGAACAATCTCCTTATCATACTGATTATTTAAATGATAATTAAACTAACAAATAAATAGTGAAGTATGAAAGAGTAATAAAGAAAATAATTCCAAAGAGGGTTGATAATAATGAATTGA